TATTATTATAGTTAACTGAATTATTCTACATTTGAAATTATTTTCTTTCGTAATTTTGGTAAATTATGAATAGATAAAAGCTTATTTTATATTTGGTGGGCCACTAATTTCATACAATTGGTTGAACATTTTAAAGTGAATCAGTTTTCAGGGTTTGATGGATTCAGTTGCAAACTCGAAAGACTTTCGAGGGCCTCTATTGCTTTCGGTGACATCACTTTTCTTTCAGACGATATAGGGTAGATAAATTGTCTGTCGCCCATCCAACCCAATTGTTGTGCAATTTGTATCGCTTGTTCTCTGTCTGTTCCCATACTTATCTGAAACAAGTCCACCGAAATCACCGAGTAGCTCTCGCGGATAACTTCCAACGCTTCTTTTCTTATGGTTTCTTTCAGGGTGTTAATGACCGGTTTCAACCCTTCCGACCAGTTGAAATCGGTCAATCGCATGGCGTCGACATGCAGTTTTTTCCAATAGGCTACACCAATCTTATATATTCTTTGTAATTCTGCAGAGCGCTTCAGGTTGGCCGGTACACGGCGCCAAAGAAATTTGTTTGCGCACATGTCTTTGTTGAGCAAATATATTACAAACAACTTAACATAATCGTTGTGCGGCAAAATTCCAACGTCTATTTCAGTGGCCTCCAGTTGTTCGGCAATAGCGCTAAAAATTCAAAAATAATATATAAATATTACAGTTAATAATAATAGTGTATTCTGTTAACAGCAATGAGAAGTTTTTTAGTCGACTTGAAGACACCATAGGCGCAATTTCAATTTTTAACTTGGGGGGGGCTGGAAATTTTTTTTAAATATATATATAAGTAAATATATTTTTGTATTTAAAAATTGCATGCATAACCTAATTTTTTTGGGGGGCTAAGCCCACCCTAGCCCCCCCGTGTTTGCGCCTATGGAAGACACCATTTATTCCTGTTTCATTCTCTTTGATAAGTTCTCGTTATATTAGATGTTTAAACACAAAAATTTAATAAAAAGACGTGATGCCCCCTATTCATTGTGTAGCCAAGTATAGGCAACTTTTGTAAAATCTTAAATAAAAGCTTGAACTGTAATGTGTAGTTATTACAACTCTTTTCGGGTAGTCAATTTATTTTACATACTAACACAGCATCTTCGTCAGCGATTTTTAATAATATTTTTTTTTATCTAAATATAGAACTCTAGAAAAATGCGTTTTACCAAGTCCGTGCTTGTTTTAAAGCAAAAGCACATAATATTATGAAACTGAAAGATAACATAATTTTAGAGACAATGAAAATAAAACGTGTAAAAAAATTATAGCTATTATAATAAAGAAAAAAAAAGGGTTTATAAATGTTAAATATTCAGCTAATCATTAGGTTTATCAAAAAGAAGATATTATGTTGTCTACAAAATCATGTTATCTTTTGTTTTTTTATAGGTATTTTTGCTCTAAAATTATCATAGAACTAGTAAAACGCATTCGTTAAACGTTTTACGTTGGAAAATTGACGTTTGCCATCCTTCATTAAAGTTATAGAATTAAAAGTACTTTTTAGAGACTTGAGGACGATTATAGATGTTAAAAAAAAAGAGATAAATATTATAGGAGTATATAAAACTATAACAATTAGTACAGAACTAGTTACAAACATCTGTTACTAGTTATATTAATGTAAACAATTATTTCTAAAAATGCAATCCAAAACTAAAGAATCAAGAATTGATCAACGCCCGCTCTTAAAAAAAACAAGTGATGTATTTTGGTTTAGTTAAAAAAAGAATATGTCTCTGTCTCTAATATTTGTATCACCTTTAGATTTCACTATAGGTTTTTTTTTTGCTTTAAAACTACCACGCATCGAGTAAAACGCTTTCTACTTGGCTATGTTAATATGACAAAAAAAAATGTTTAAAATTGCTGATAATCAGAAAAAAATGAGTCCTACATTTAGCTTAAGCTATCTATTCAGAATTTTGCAATAAATGCCTACACCGAACTCTTTAATAAACAGCTTGTATAACGTCGTCTTAAAGACTTGCAATTTCTTCATATTATATTATTTATTTATGGTAGTATATACATACTTGAAGTTAATAGAGTTGTTCTCTGCCATCTTAAATTATTGTCTGTGTGAACTCCGACTGGTGGCTGCCAACATAAATGTTTCATTAAACACGAAATTAATATTAAAAAAATCATCATAGTATTGTAATAACTACTGTTGTTACGCTATTGTACCTATTACAGTACGTTTGTATTTTACCTGTTATAATATTTTTTAGTTGAAAGAGAAATCCAGCAGATGACAAACGCAGCGTCCAAACGGGCAATGCGAGTTACTGAGATGTATATATTTTTATTGACAAGCCCTGCGACCCCTCGATAAACGATAATAGGGTGCGCTTACGGTAACGGTTGTGCAGGGTGGAAACATATTATAATAATAATTTCAAAAAGCGTACCCACCGTGGTTACACTGATATAGATGGACCAAAAACCAAAAAACTTTTTTCTATATTTTCACGTTCAGTTGCTTCTTTGCTTATTATATTGTCGAGTGCATCCAAAATTAAACGTTGAATTTAATTTACTTTTGTCAATTTCTGATTTGGGTGTAACCATTGGCATTTCACCAATAACCTGGTCGATGGTGCAAGCAATAAGCTTATCATATATGAGATTATATCACAGAATAACCAAAAAGGTCCATTTAAAAAAAATTACATGGGTTCCATTGAGCAGCTGAAAAAGGCCGACTGCTATATTGTTTTCGCGACGGGAAGCCAGACTATAATAAATGGACTAAGGTTTTTCAACAGAATATTTTTACAGAACAGATTTTTCCTGACAAAAAGGTGATAATTATTGTAAGTAATCCGCGAAAACAAAATGCCAACTAAAGGGACGGCCAAGTTTTCCTTCTGGTTATATGGCAATTGTATGAGCCAAACTGGTGAAAGGTGATGGTAACTAAATTACAAGGTCGATAAGGATTTCCACCACTATCTTAGCACGTTCACTGTCCTAATTTTAAATTAAATCAAAAGTTATCAGTCCTGTGATCCATATATGGGATCACGTTAAACCTATTTTAGTAGTCCATGATCTACACGTGGTTCATTTCAAACATTTATTTCTCTGGAGATTTATTTGTATGGACTATATTCTATAAAATTCATAATAACACAGTTGGACAGGTGAGATGATAGGGACTTAATTAATTAATTATGGACTTATCTATAAATAAATCATGAACCACATAAGGGTCATCGGACAGTAAACGTGTTAGTTCGGAGTATCCACAAATAGGTACTATAAATGATAATACCCGAAGGTTAGGTTTTTTTAAGGGCTTACTTTTTTCCCCCAACATCAGTGTAGCCATACATTATGATACAATATACCGTAGCCCTATTGCGTGTGATAATAATTTATAATTGATAAGCTTATATAATATCAAATACTATAAACAATCGACGCAATGTAGACATCGTTTCAGAATAATGCTATTTAATTCCTTGATTAGTTGATTTGCCATTTGGGTGACACTGTTGTTGTTGGAGGAAATTCTGAGCCAATACATGTTAACATTGACTTTCCGGTATTAAGTATCATTTATAGTATTTGGTTTCCACGATATTATTAAAATTTACACTGAACGGTGTACATTGCAGTTGTCTTAGTTATATTCGAGACCAATTCTAGTAAAACCTTAGGATTTTATTTTTTCAAGTATAATTTCTTACCCAGTCTTTTGTATTATGCATTACTAACACTTCAAATTTAGCGTTACCAATACCGTTCAAAGTCTATTTCAGCGACAAAGGCAGAACATTTTAAAGGGAACATATTGAACATTTTATATTCAATAGTTCTTTCACATAATTTTAAAGCAAATACAGAATGAAAAATGCTTCATTAACAAACATGAAACATTTCCATCTCTAATCATCTGACTCGATTGGTAATAGCGAACAATATTAGTTGTGAAAGTGATAAAAAAATTTAAATAAGTACTATTATATTTTAAACCTTAAACTATGCAGTTTTCATGACTGTTTATCATAATGTTTATCATAAAAATACTTGTAGACATTTTGTTACGATTTGCAGTCAGTGACAATTTGAAGAGACATCAGATTGTTTTTGATAAATCCAATGATTTGTTAAACTCTTAGATTTAGACAAGTCAAAAATGTTTGCATATCTTATAAAACCAAAATTGACAAAAGCAAAAATGAAATTATTTTTTAAATGCTATTAAATAAAATTGTGTTATGATTGTATGAAAAGTAATTTAAAACATAGTATGATATTTATTCTTCAATAGTTTGCACGAATAATAAGCAGCTTGTACAGGTTCTTAAGCTTAAGATTAGAAAAAAAATGTATATACTAGAACTGAAATCAGATTAGGCAATAGAAATCGAAGTTTATATTATTTTTTAAAAAGAAAACATGAGAAGGACACCTAAAAGGTGTGATATTATTTATTATAGTCCTTTCAGAAATTTTAAAGCAAATACAGAACGGAAAATGCTTCATTGACAAACATGAAACATTTCCAACTCTGACTCGATTGTTAATAGCAAACAATCTTAGTTGCAAAGTTGATGAAAAATTGTATAAAAATTCTATTATTTAAAACCTTTAACTATGCAGTTTCATGACTGTTTATAGTTATGTTTGTCACAAAAATATTTGTAGGCACGTTGCAGACGGTGAACCGTAATAGTTTATAGTACATAGATGAAAATATTATTTTACAAAGTACATAGATATTATTTTTTGAATTGATTTTTTATTTAATTATTACATTTTCACTCAAGACACTAGTCAATTGAAATGTCGGATAAAAGATAAAAATCAGATTAAATTGTCATTTGTATTATTATAGTTTACAGTAGTAATATTCTACATTTCAATTTTTTTTTTTTGTCTTCAAGTAATTTTGGTAAATTACGAATAGACATAAAAGCGTATTTTCTATTTGACTAGCCACTAATTATTTTATACTATCGGTTGAACATTTAAAAAGGGAATTATTTTTTTTGGCGTGACGAATTCACATTCAAACCAGCCATTGATTCGAGGAGGAATGCATTGGATGGCGGCGGTTTATTTGTAGGTTTTATGGGGTGGATAAAATGTCCGTCAATCGACCAACCCAGTTGTTGTGCAGTTAGTATGGCTTCTTCTCTGTCCAATCCCACGCATTTTTGAAACAAGTCTATTGAGATGACCGCATAGCTATCGGCGATAGTTTCCAACGCTTCTTTTTTCAAGCATTCTCTTAAAAGCCCCATAAAAGGTTTCGACTGATCGGACCAGTCAAAATCGATTAACGTCATGGCGTTGTCATACTGTTTTTTCCACGACGCTAGACCAATCCTAAACAGTCTTTTTAGTTCTGCAGAGTCCTTCAAGTGGTCCGGCAAAGTTGGCCAAATAAATCTGCTTGGGCACATGTCTTTGTGGAGCAAATGCAGTGCAATCAACTTCACGTAATCGTCGTCCGGAAAGGGTCCAACTTTTATTACACCGACCTCAGGGTGTTGGCTGACAGCGCTAAAAATTCAAATATAATATTATGTTATTATACATAAATTATTAATAATAATAAGAATTCAGCAATGAGTTTCGATCCCTTTTATAAATTCTCCTTATTTTTTATGTTTAAACACAAAAAGTTATTAAAAGGATGTGATGCCCCCCCTATGTATTATGTAGCTATAAGTATAGGCGACTTTTTGCAAAACCTTAATTTAAAACTTGAACTATAATAAGAACACATTTTTGGTAGTTAATTTATTTTTCGGACTAACACAGCATCTTCGTCAGCGATTTTATTAAAATCGATTACAACAACATTTTGGAGACAATGTCATATCCGATTTTGAAAATAACAACGTGAATGTGATTTTAAATGTTAAATATTTAGCTAATCATTGAGTTTTCAAAAAAAATGATACGACATTGTCTCCAAAATCGTGTGATCTTTCGTTTTTATTGTAGGTATTTTACCTCTAAAATTATTATTAAGTGAGTAAAATGCATAAATGCTTAGGTATGTAAAACTTCCTCTTGATATCATAGATTTTAAAAGGACTGTTGTATATGAGGAATTCAGGACTATTAATTTTAGAATTTAAAAAAAGAGAGCTAATTTTTAAAAAAAGTATAAATATAAATATGAATACAGAACTAGTTACAAAAAATTTGTAACTAGTTCTGTACCTAAACTAACTTTTGCAATGCAAAATATGGTAGTATAAAGAAATATTAGAAACGAGGCAACTGTCTGGGGGAAATATTACATGGCTACGGCCGTCGGATAACAAACACAAATATTATAATAATAACACATATAATACTACCACACTGCGTAGCTATGTTTATACGATAAACATGTTTAAAATTGTTGACAAAGATGCTGATAGTCTGGAAAAAATGAACCCTAATTCCACACTTGGTTTCAAGGCCCCCACAAGGGGGGGGGTCAGTGAGTACTAGGGTCCCGGGGCCCGGGCTCTCTGAGAGCCCGAGGAAAAAACAAAATATATACGTATTATTCATTTAAATTAGAAAAATATAATGAGTCGTGCCACCCCAGTCACTATATGTTTGTATAATATTGGTATATAAATATTTTTATTTTTTACTATAATACATAATACTTTTTATAATACATAATTTTGTTTAACAATCTAATTGTAAATTATTTTTATTTAATGAGATCGGCCACTTGACGTCGGTAGGACGGTAGACGGGTAGGGCGTGCAGCGCAAGCATTTCTTGGAAAAAATAAAAGGGGAAAATATCCGGGACGATAAAAGCAATAAGTCAGCCGTCTGCCCTACTAGTGCTATTTTTGGCATTAGAAGATAATAATTCTTTTATCGATGACCAAAGTCAAAACAACCCGCGATCATAGCATGCATTTTAGTTTTTACCACAACCGTCAATCTCCCGAGTTGTGGCGGTAATATTGTGATACTGTCTACAGGTGTATAAAAGCAATATAAGCTATGTATAAAGTGACCAGATCAAAATTCTATAAAAGCGGGACAAGTATTCAAAAGGAACTAGAGGAAGTGGGGTATCCCTCCTCATAAAATAGTACTCGTAGGAGGAGTTAATCTCCCTTAATAATTGGTTTTGGGTACACCTTTATTTCTTCATGCTAAAACTAGACATTGCAAAAGAAAAAATCATAATCAAAATAGGATAAAAATCAAAATTTAAATCAATTTTTCATTGAACATAAAATATTTATTTTATTAATACCTTAATAAAATTAAGTATATTATATCCTTAACAAAAAAATTTTAAAAACAAAATGTAACTTTAAAATACAAGAATTAAATATTATAACAAGTAAACTTATAATTATAATCAAAGTAGGATGAAAACCAAATTTAAATATACTTAATACAAATTTATAAAATATTTAATACAGATAAAAAAATTATTAATACTTAGTATTTATCATTTGATGCAATAGATTTGAGCAATAAAGGAGGTTTTTTATCAGTTGTAACCACTTGGGTTTCATTTCTAAAACCGTGGTTACCTATAGCCGATTGAGAGTCCAGATCATAACGTGATAAACACCAATGTCTAGGTCTCTATGATAATAAGTGATATCACAGTATAGATTATAGAAACTGTACAAAATAAACTGATGAGATCTGATGGAACACAAAATATACACACCATAAGCGAAAATAAGAAAAAAATAACTATTGTTTGAAATCGGGACAAAAGCGGGACGTCGATTAAAAGTCGGTACATTTTACTGTCCCGATTTGATCACCATATTTAGCGGGACACCTGCTTGAATATCGGTACTGTCCCGCCAAAATCGGGACGTCTGGTCACACTAGCTATGTAACAAATATTTTAGGTACCTTATGAAAAATAAAAAATAAATGTTAGAAATTATATTAAAATTATTATAAATACTAATATATAATAAGGGCCCGGATTCATTTACAGTACCGTACTTGAAAAATGCATGTGGGGGGCCTGCTTGGTTTTATGCTTTAAATTCAGATTGCCTACATCGAATTCCTTAATAAATAAGTTATATAACGACCCTCTTAACGACATATAATTTCTACATATTATTTTACTATTTATTTTAGGCGGTATATACATACTTCAAGTCAACAGAGTTGTCGTCCTCCATCTTGGATTATTGTCCGTGTAAACTCCGACTGGTGACTGCCAACATAAATATATTATTATTATCCCGACAAATTGCCAAGATCAAAAAACAAATCATAATAGTATTGTAATAACTACTGCTGTTACGCTATTGTACTTATATAGTACGAATTTTACCTGTTATAGAAATTTTTTGTCGAAATGAAAATCCAGCAGAAGACAAAGGCAGCGTCCAGACGAGTAATGCTACTAACATACATATATATATAAATATATATATATTTTGCCAAGCCCTTCGCCCCTCGATTTAATCGATAAACGAAAGTAGGGTGCGCTTACGGTAACAGTATTTCAGGGTAGAAACTTCTTATAACAACAACAGTTTCAAAAAGCGTACCTACCATGGTTACACTATCGGATGGACATAAAAACAAAAAACCCTCTCCTACATTTTCACGTTTACTTGTTTCTTTACAAATTATATTATCGAGTGTTTCCAAAATTAAACGTAAAACTTAATTTAATTTCTTAATTGGGTGAAACCATTGGCATTTGACCTGTAACCAGGTCGATGGTGCAAGCAATGAGCCAACCGTCTGTGATAATAACCAGAAGTAAACTCTTTAAAAATTACATGGGTTTTTATGAACAGCCGAAATACGCTGATTGCTATATACTGTCACGACTGAAAGCCAGACTATAACAAATGGACTATAGATTTTTCCAAGAAAAAGAGTAACAATTATTGTAAGTAACCCGCCAATACAAAATATCAAACTCTGTCCCGAGCTAAGTTTCCCTTCTGGTTATCCTGTGATTATAATATGGCAATTGTACGAGCCAACCCGGTGAAAGGTGATGAGAACTAAATGACAATCCCGATAAGGGTTTCCACCACAAACTATAGCGTATAATACTATATTAGTTCATGTTTTCTACAAATATTATAAATGATAATACCCGAAAGGAAGATCTTTTAAGGGCCTCGTTTTTTTCCGAACAGTGTAGCCATATATTGTGATACAATATACCGTAGGCCCTTTGCGTATGATAATAATTTATATTTGATAAGCCTATATAATATCAAAAACTATAAAAAATGGACGCAATGCAGACATCGTTTCAGAATAATGCTATTTTTATTCCTTGATTTGGGTAACACTGTTGTTGGGGGGAATTCTAAGTCAATACATATTAACAATTATTAACATTGACTTACCAATATTAAGTATCATTTATACTATTTGGTTTCAACAATATTATTAAAATTTACACTGAACAGTGTACAATGTAGATGCCTTAAATATGTGCGAAACCAGCTCTAGTTAAACCTTGTTATTTTCTTTTCTTTATAATTACCTATAACCTTAGTATTTTATCAATTCTATTATGTTAAATCCAATAATTTGTTTAACTCTTAGACCTCGCCTATATCATTTATTCTAATTGAACCTTGTCGTTAGCGGCAGCAGCAAATGTTTGTTTTATTAATTATATTTACAGTGTAGTAAACAACGTTGATCAGTGTGTAAATTGATAGTAGTGCTTAAGATAAAAATTAGTACTAATAGATTGACTATTATTTGTTTTATTTTTATAAAATTATTAGAAATAGGATATTAATAACACTTATCAAAAGAAAAGGTTCTTTTCGAGTGCATTTTTCATCATTATTAAAAGTTACAAATTTTAGCTCATCTTATAATAAAAAATTCACATAGGTATAAAATGAAATACATTTTTAAAATGCTATCAAATAATATGTGTTATGTTTTATTGTAACATAAGTCTTTTAAAATTTAGAATGTAATTCTTCTGTGGTTAGCAAAAAAAAAAACAAACTTACCAGTTCTTAAGCTTATTACTTAGAAAAAGGACATACTTGAACAAATCAGTTTAGGTAATAGAAATCGAAAATATGAGTCGTTTAATATGTATAATGTTATTTATTAAATATTTATATATAATAACTTAATTCACTAAGATAGATAATTAAATCGATACAAAGATAATAGGAATTTGTTAAGAATGAAGATTGATTAATTTTTTTTTATACAATTATTATAAATAGAATACCTATAATATTTATCAAAAGACTAGCTCGGGATGAGTTATTTTCCCATCATTATACAATAAATTACAAATTTTAGCATATCTTATAAGACAAATGTATAAATTAAATTATTTTTTAAATGCTATCAAATAAAATTGTGTTATGACTTTTTGTAAATTGTAAGATAATTCTTTTAAAATAGAGTATGATATTTGTTCTTTTATTGTTGGCAAAAAATAATTACTACCATCTTATACAGGTTCTGGAGTATAAGATTTAAAAAAAATAAAAAATTGAAATTAATTTAGACTAGTTAATAGGTAAAATCGAAGTTCAAATTTTTTTTAAAAAAGAAAACTTGAGAAGACCATCTAATGGCCATTAGTTTATAGGTGTAATAATATTTATTAAATAATTATACTTAATAACCCAATTTACTAAGATAGATATCGATACAAAGATAATAGAAATTGGTTATTTTATATTGGAAACGCTTAAAATAATAAAATGTTATTGTTAAATCAAATAGGTTATAAAATATTAAAATAACACAAGTTTAATTAATGAATATTAAATCATAATTATTATTTAAATAAAAAGAATAAAGTAAAATTAATAAATAACAAACAATTAAATGTAAAAAAAATCGCAATAATTTAGATGTCGGGTGAAAGGTGAAAAAAAGATTACATTGTTTACTGTATTATTATAGTTAACTGAATTATTCTACATTTCATTTTTTTTTTTTGTCTTTAAATAATTTTGATAAATTATGAATGGATAAAAGCTGATTTTATAATATGGTCAGCCACTTATTTTTCACTATTTGTTAAACATTTCAAAGTAAATTAGTTTTCGGCGTTCGATGAATTCAGTTGCAAACTCGAAAGGCCTTCGAGGACTTCAGTTGCTTTCTGTGATTTCGCTTTTCTAGCAGACGATACTGGGTAGATAAACTGTCTGTCGTCCATCCAATCCAATTGTTGTGCAATTTGTATCGCTTGTTCTCTGTCTGTCCCCATACTTATCTGAAACAAGTCCACCGAAATGGCCGAGTAGCTCTCGCGGATAATGTCCAACGCTTCTTTTCTAATGCTTTCTTTCAGAGTGCTAATGACCGGTTTCAACCCTTCTGACCAGTTGAAATCGGTCAACTTCATGGCCTCGGCAGACAGTTGATTCCACAAGGCCTGACTAATCATATTCATTCTCTGTAGCTCTGCAGAACACTTCATTTCGGCAGGTATACGGCGCCAGAGAAATTTGTTTGCGCACATGTCTTTGTTGAGCAAATAAATTACAAACAACCTGACATAATCGTCGTGCGGCAAGATTCCAACTTCCAGTTCAGTGGCCTCCAGTTGTCCAGCGATAGCGCTAAAAATTCAAAAATAATATATAATTATTATAGTTAACAATAATAGTATATTCTGTTAACAGCAATGAGAATTTTTTTTGTCGACTTGACCGTTTATTCCTGTTTTATTCTCTAACCGTAATAAGATATTCTGTTTTTATCGTCTTGGAGACACCGTTTCTTTCTATTCGATTCCGTTTTATAAGTTCTCCTTAGTTTTTAACGTTTAAACACAATAAAAGATTTTACGAATACATGGTTCTCCTATTTATCAAAGGGTTAAGTAAAGGCAATTTTTTTGCAAAACTATAATTTGATGCTTGAACTGTAATGGGTAGTTATTATAGAACTCTTTCCCATTTCCGTGATAGATTTTAAATATTTTTTTTATCTAAATATACAACTCTAGAAGAAAGCGTTTTAATAAATCAATGGTTTTTTTAAAAAAGCAAAAGCACATATTATTATTATGAAACCGAAGTATAACCTCACCTCTGTTGTTGAGTTAATGTCATTTCCGATTTAAAACGTGAAAAAAAGTTATAGCTATTTTGAAAAAGTAAAAAAAGGTATTTTAATTGTAAATATTAAGCTAACCATTAGGGTTATCTCAAGAAGGATTTAATTGCATTGTGTTCAAAATCCTGTCATCTTTCGTTTTTTTTATGGGTTTTTTTGTTTTTAAATAATATCATAGTCGAAGTAAATGTATATATATATATATATATAATAATAATAAAGCAAACTTATCGCAGATATTATAAAAATAGTTGAAAACCCGTGGTAAAATGAAATGTTTTTTTTTTTTTATGTTAAAACATTTTGAGGTATATGCCATGCTAAAAAATATAACCAATTCATTGTCTATTTTACTGACAAATAGTACAGATAGTGTTTTTAATACACACAAAATATTTCAGTTTGTTTTGGCAAATGGAGCTTATTATGTACGTAAGTTGAATTATAATTACTATAGTAAATTAAAACACAACAATTTTACAGTAGGTATTATTTTGAAGGATAAATGAAAGATAAATGATGATAGATAACCTAAATATTTAATTCATCCATTAAGTATAGTGACACCAAAAACTGGTTTGTAATGTATTAAATAATATTTGTGTTATTTGCGAAGTAAGTGGATGGAAATAATAGTATTCTAGCCCTTTTCTCACCTCATCGACATAAAATAAAACTAAATTTTAGTTTTTTTTTGGACATTTTTTAGCTAAAATAAATAAACAACATAATGTGAAGTACATTTAAGTTCATTGGGTATATTTTTTCCCCTGTTAGATGTATACTTTTTTTTTATTAAGATAGATATTATTTCAAAGACATCTTTGTGTGATATTTAAATTAAATATCATATTTTTCGTCATTTAAATCTTTGCTTAGCTGACAATTACCACTAATAACAATATAAAATATGTTTTTTTTTTATAATAGAGAACTATAAATTAATATTATCAGATAAAACGAGAAAAGAAAAAAAGGGACGATAATTGTGGGCGGAAAAAAAAATCATATAAGTACATTCCAACTAACTTTAAGGCGTACAAATATTATTTTTTTCTAATTATATAACTTTTTAAGTTACCTATTTTTCTCAGTTTTGGCGGAAGTTTGATAAAAAACAACTCAATGTAATTTTAGATCATATTAATAAGACGGATTCCAATTTTCCTTTTAATTTGAAGTTTACCGTTTTCTTTATGGGGGTTAAAAGGTCAATTTTTGATTGTGCTATTAGAATTAGAATTATAAAAAAAAATTATTAACACTACTACAGTAGCGGCTTTGGTTGTTATATTTTTATATATAATTAATAAATTAAATGTACTATATACTAATAATTTAGTTATGAGTTGATAACCAACTTCGATTGTAATATTATACATATTGCATCAATAAAAAAAATTGACAAAATATAGCATATGTATGCCCACACATACGTAAAGTGGAAAATTTACGAAAAATAAAGATATTGTAGGCTATATTAGTGTCTAAATATTGTCTGGGACTAAAGCCCCCCCCCCCAAAAAAAAATCAACCCCTAAGTCCGCCTATGGACTTATACTTGCAACATACAATTTTATTTACATATCAGTATATTTTGTCTTAACCAACAGGCACCGAGTAAAACGCAATCTACGAAGCCATGTTGTATGAAAAAAAAAATATTTTAAAAACTGTCAAAGGTGCTGATAGTCGGAGATAAAATAAGTCCTACCTACACATTTAGCTTAAGCTTTAAATTCAGATTTTGCAATAAATGCCTATACCGAACTCTTAAGTATAATAGCTTGTATAACGTCGTCTTAAAGACTTGTAATTTCTTAATATTATATTATTTAATTTAGGTAGTATAATGTACATACTTGTAGTTGATAGAGTTATTTTCTGCCATCTTGGATAATAGTCTGTGTGAACTCCGACTGGTGACTGCCAAACATAAATATATGTACAATTATTATATCCCAACAAAACGCGAAATTAAAAAAAAAAATCTTATTAGTATTGTAATAACTACTGCTGTTACGCTATTGTACCTATGTTAATCATCGAGTTTATATTTTACCTGTTATATTTTTTTTTAAGAGAAATCCAGCAGAAGACAAACAGCGTCCAAACGGGTAAGGCGAGTTACTGACATACACAATAGACATATAATATATATATATATGCTTTTTTCCAAGTTCTTCCACCCCTCCACATTTAATCGATAAACGAAAGTAGGGTGCGCTTACGGTTACGGTTTTGCAGGCCAAAGGGTAGAAACGTAATATTATAACCACAATTTCAAAAAGCGTACTTACCACGGTTACACTGCTGGATGGACCAAAAATTGCTAATTGTATTGCTAATAATTATATTGCTAATTATATTCTGGCGTTTGGACGTTTGCAACGGTTTGTATAAAACGAATTTTGCTTTGAAGGACCCAAAAGGAGATTTTTTGTTTTTTATCTGACAAAGTTATTGTTTTCAAGTTACTGATTTACAACGTTTATCGGATTTCGATTGCGCAAGAACTCCAGTGACCTTAAATTGTTGACCTAATATATTTTTTTTAAATAAAAAGAGCCAGTACATCCATAGCCAGGTATATGTACGAATTATAACAACTGAAAGTAATAAAATCACTTTCAAATAAACTTCTTCGATGCGAATCTGTAAACTGCATTCTGCCTATAAAATGTGCTTGAAAATGTACGTATTTTTAGTATTTGGGTTTATCTTCTGTCTGTAATAATTTATTTAGTAAATTAGTTTCCTTATTTATCTTAATTGAAAAAAAAAAATTTTAAAAGTTTCATATGCCTCTTGGTTGTTGGAATTTGACTACGGACAAATTTTAATTTTTCTTTTTTTTTTCTCAATAAAAATAATGTTTTGACTACAAATTTTTGGGAAAATTGCATGTATACACAATATTACTAAACTTCATTCTGGATCTATCTTCGGTCAAATTTTATGCCCTAATACTTCCCTTAAAATAGCGTTATTTTTGTCTTTACACACAAAAACTGGTACAACTTCTTTCTAGATTTTTTTTGTTTCAAAACTTTTTTAACACGCATTTTGTTTTTTTCTTAATAATTTTAACTTAAATCGTTACATTTTAAACGCGTTATAAGATTGTGGGACAGGTAATAATAATTCTCAAATGTATGGACGTGTTTGCATATATTTTTGTTTCATAATTAGTAAAAAATTCATATTTGCATAATTGGTATAATGAATGACTATTTTTTTTCAATTTTAGAAAGCATAGCTTACCAAACTAAATTGCATGATAAAATAACCATCGTCTTAGGTAAATATCATAATTTGTAAATACACAAGTTCAATAATAATAATTTTTTTTTTTCCAAACAAAAACAATAAATATTAAATTTGAGTTCAGTCTTTTATCATTTGGTGGATATTCTAAATATAATTATTGAATGTTTATCAATTAGTTAAAAAAAAACTCAGTTTTAGATATTGTTATAGATAAAATATAAAATATGGTTTTTGTTTTTCTGTATAATTATTTAAATTATGAAAAGAAAAGTAATTACGACTTTAATATGTTAGGTAATGATAATAATTGTTTTAATTATTCAAACTATATTATAAGTAATTAATTCGGAAATATTTTTAGCTTCGATGCAAAGCGAGAAGGTATTGGTTTTACTCTGATGTGTGTTTTTTTTTTATCTGTATACACTGTAACTTTTTTAATACTGGACCAATTCCTTCGAGTAGCAACTCTATTAATCGCAAATTTCATCTAGTTAGTACTTTGGGGGGGTAAAAGTTGAAAAAGTTTAATTCTTCACAGACGAAAGTTGAAAAAACAAAAAAAAACCGTACGAGTTTTTAAGTTAGAACTTTTACTGGCTATAATTTCGAGAAAAAGAGTCGGATCGAGTTGAAATTTATAAGAAATATTTATTTAGTATGCCCGCGCACGTCAGTTGTATCAAATTTAAATTTAACCCAATGCCCACCCCCCTAGGGGGGGTACAAGTTATTTTGTTTTTCGGGGTTTTTAGCCGTAATTTTAAGACTTTTGGGTTGAAAATTTGCCAGTAGTTGGAACTCATATGTATCCATAACATATTAAACGGAAAAATAATTCGGCACTACAGTTTTTTTTTAATTGCCGGGAAACTGTGTTTTCACAATCATTATAACAATTTTATGTAGATCTATGCAGAATGATACTATTAGGTTTTGTGCTCAAGTACCACTTTTGACTTAAAGTTTACACAAATTCGATTTTTTTTTTTTTTTACTTAAGTTCTTTCCGGATGATTAAAATTGAGAACTGATATTAATTTCGTAATCACCGACCCCAAAAACATATAATTTGACCACTTTTGATGTCTTTTACACAAAAATCCAGAAAAATGTTTTAGCTTCGATGCAAAGCGAGAAGGTATTGGTTTTACTCTGATGTGTGTTTTTTTTTTATCTGTATACACTGTAACTTTTTTAATACTGGACCAATTCCTTCGAGTAGCAACTCTATTAATCGTTTATTTGAAAGCGATTTTATTCAATTTTATCACTTTTATTTATAATAATTCTTGTAGACCTGTGACCTCTCCGTTTCCTCATTGCTTTGATTACATTATGCCAATACTCTACTGTACTAGTCTTCTCGGATAAAATCACTTTCAAATTAACGCTTTGATGCTCATTTGTAAATACAGAACCTTCATTCAAAACTTTCTAACTTTGCTGGTTTATACTGTGCTTGGTTTGGACTGTACTGGCTTGAAAATACTAACTACCGATTTGCATCGAAGCGTTTTTTCGAAAGTGATTTTATCACTTTCAGATTTAAAAATTCCTGTAAACCTGTGACCTCCCCGTCCCCAATATGCCCCGACCCAACTATGTTCCGTCCCTACTATGCACCGACCCCACTGTACTGGTTTTTTTTATTAGAACCTATAAATCTAATATTTATTTATAGCGTTTATTTTGTTTGAAAGTACTTGTCGTTTTAAACTAAACTGAAAAAATATAATTTCAGCATTAAAATATTAACACTTGACAACTTTATGGATAATCGACTACAAAATACTAATAGCGTAATAATTTGTTTAATTAGTTTGTTCTATTTATGTACATAATATAACAAAATACTGGGAATATTTGAAAATTATACATAATAATTGTATACAGAACAGATTATAATATTTGGAAAGGTTTTTTTTTCCTCAAAATAACATTTTTTTTTTTATTATTCAACAACAGTTATATTTTTTACATATCATAAATTACATATTACACAAAAAAGAATGTTTAGAAAGCATACGAAAATAAAAAGCTAACAATCAAAGAAATAGTCTTCAAACTCAATATTGTCACATCATCAGACTTTGCCATTTGGAGGATCTTTGAATATTGGAGGAGGATCTTGGAATATCGGAGGTTGTTGTCGATACTGTTCGGTTTCATACACTTGCATGAACCACAAGCTGTATCCTTCAATCATGGCCAACAGACAGGCCCCGAAGACAGCGCTACCTACCATTGAGGCGACGCCGCTTCGCGCGGACAGTATGCCGCCGGTCAGACCGCCGCTAATGATGCCGTTCCAAGCGTCTTCTTTTTTTCTTATGCCCACCAACGAACAATCAATGGCCGCGAACACGCCTCCCCAAACTGCAAAACTGCCGCCCACTTGGGGGGCTCGGGTGGTGGCCGAATGAAAAGCACTCTGGAAATTAAATCACAATTAAATGCCGTCTTCCGTTGGAGCAAACAAAAGAATACAACAATTATTAACATTACATTTTTGCAGTTGTTGTTGGACAATAATTATTGTATTTTCACTCACCTTGAAACGTCTACGGAAACCGGTTGGTGCATTGCAGAAACCTTTGATTCCGTTGAAAATTCCTCCGCCCATGAAACCTATGGCAAACGCACCACCAAGATCTTCCATAATCCTCATCGGGCATGGCTCTCTTGCATATTCGCCCATCGTTAATATTAGGAAAAACTATAAAAAATACCTAATATTTAAATATAGTCTAATTTACGATGGGTATCTACTTCTATTAAAATCATAACAATATTTCTATCGCAACGCAAATATGTTCATACTGTTTTGGATTTTACTAAAATAATATCAAACCTAGAATTTTAATTACAAAATAAAATGAGCAGGGCCGGACTTAGAGGGGGGTGTGGGGGGGTTTGACACCCCCCACTCGGAAAACTCAAGTATACCTAATCGGCACATTCCGAACAAAAAGTCGGTAAATATTATATCCCCCATAAAATTATACAAATAACATATTTATTATTTTTATTTTATAAAAGTAGGTAGGTAAATCATTTTTATTGGAATCTAGCGACGAATAGTGAATAGTCGGCATACGGACGACCATACGAAAATATAATTTTAGTTTTTAGTAAAAAAAAACAATGCATTTCCGGTTATTTCCCGATTTTAGCAGAAGTATTATTATTTGTTTATAATAACTGTGGTGTATATTATTATATCAAACGATGTTCGGTCATGGGACCTATTGGTCTATTGTAAACAAACATTCTATCCCTCTATAAGTATATATTTTTATTTTAGTTTTAAAATTCTAAAAAATTCCTTACTATAAAAAAAAAACCTACTCTTCTGTTTTAGACATATCACATAACCCATAGTATTAAGTCTGCAGGCAAAGAGTTAGCGGGTTTATTTTTGCTTGTCCCGTGTGCGCGTGTAAAATAATAAGTATTGGTTATAAATATGTGTAATCTAATATATATGGTTAGAGAATGAATATGATACACCAAGGAGCTGCTAACAATCCTTTTGAGCCTGCCCGAGTAAATTTTGAACAAAAGGTATGAGATGGATACGTATTTAGAATAAATCATTAATCCAGATTTTTAAGGCCTATGAGAGTTCCTTGGTACTACTTCACTATGTCTTGTTTCTTCTTTATTACTATCGTTGCGGTGGGATATTACCTACTATAATATCCTACTATACTATATATATAGCGAGCAGGGAATAGACATGAGCATTATTTTTAAATAGTGTACCTAACTAAAATAAAAATAAAATTGTATTAAGATAATAACTCATAAAAAAATACACTTTTGTTTTTATTTTAAAGATTTTAATAATAATTTTGAATACAATTTTATTATTTTTTATAAAATTATTTAAAATAAGGCTATTTGGATTATATCTCGGTTAAATTGCAGTTTCAACTGCAATACGTTATAAATTATAATTATGTTAAATAAATTCAAACATTTTAAAAATAATGCTATTAAAGTAGGGCTCTAATTGTTTTAGTATTGGTGACTGAGAACTGAAAATGAAGTAATAAATAAATTTGTTAGTTGCCTAAAATATTTCTATGCTCCAAAAACATTTTAAAAATCAAAAAAATCAAGTCACAAAATGTCATAAAATATTTACGAAAGTACCCAAATATTTTAGTCGGCAATTAAAATTTTAAAGTCGGCATCTTCATTTTGACACCCCCCCCCCCCTTGCATATTTCTTAGCACCGGCTCTGATTAAATGAGTAATAGTTCATAAAAAAAAGGTAAAATATAATCAATCATTACTCGGTTATTAAAAAAAAAAATATTGTAACGACAATAGTGTAACGACAACACCAACAACGTATCTATTAATTTTACAGGTTTCAGGTACTATGAATTTAATTTCTGAAAAGATTCTATCGTTGTGTAGATAACAATATGTGAAATCCGTATCGCACAAAAATCATCCGCTAGTAAACACCTGGATCGCATTTTTTTTTTATAGTAGATTTTTTTTTAAATAAACGCTAAAAAGCTAAAAGTACAATCTTATATAACTTGATAGTTTCGCCAAGATAAATTATTGCATACATATTTTAGAAGGTCAATAATTGTTTTATTATTAAGTGAAAATAAATGTCAACTTACCGAAATACTTTGGTGGCCTGTACAGTTAAATATTACAAATATAGTAATATTACAGATAAATATCTTCGACTAAATACAAAACTATTGTTTTAGAATAAAACTTCACTTTACACAGTGAACGGTTTTAACGGAATTGGTATAAAACTAGCGGTTGATAACACCGATAGATTAACATGATTGGTGCTTAACATGTTATTTTATGATCAATTTGTCAAGGAGAATATAACAAGTGTATAATCTCTTTGGAATTCGCTATAATCCAAATTATTGAGCGTCGGAATTTTTCAAATTTTAAAAGTAGCCAATAATACTTATCAAAAGACCGGTTCTCATTGAGTTAATTTTTCATCATTATTAAAAGTTACAAATATTAGCATGGCCTATAAAACAAAAATTTAAATAAGTGTAAAATGAAATTATTTTTAAAATGCTATCAACCGATTCGTATTTTGATTTTTTGTAAGATAAGTATTTTAAAATTAAGTATATTTATTCTTCTATGGTTTGTAAAAAAAAAAAAATACTTACCAGCTCTTAAGCTTGAGATTGGAAAAAAGTACATACTTGAACAATTTAGTTTAGATAATAGAAATCGAAGTTTGTATTTTTTTAATAAAAGAAAACATGAAAAGGTTATTTAATAAGTAGTATGTTATTTATTAAACATTTATACATAATAACTTAATTCACTAAGATAGATAATTAAATCGATAAAAAGATAATAGGAATTTGTTATTTCATCTTGAAAACGCTTAAAATAATAAAATATTATTTATAAATAATATTGTGAAAATAAAACATTTTATAAACAAAATATCACAAGTTTAATTAATGGATATTTAATTACAATTTTTTATTTTAAATAAAAATAATAAATGGAAATGGCTTGATAACAAATAATTAAATGTAAAAAAATTGTAATAATAGTACACAAAGAAAATATTATACTACATAAGTACTAACATATTATTTTTTGGAAATGATTAAATTTTTATTGAAGAAACTTAACAATTTATTTGTCAGATGAAAGGTTAAAATAGATTATGTTATTAGTATTCTTAATAATACTTAATATTTGAAGCCGTGAAGAAGTTTATGTGGAATTGTCTCGAGAACTTGATGGCGCCAAACCTAGACAAGAAAACAATAATATTTTAATAAAGCATACTATCCAAAAACAAACTTAAGTTATTTAAATTATTTTCTACTATATGATCAACGTTTTAACTACTAATATTACATGCTTGATAATTATTGTTAATGTGGTGTTCTAAAGAATTGGGAATTATTCTTATAATTTTTTATCTTAATAAAGTGATCAATTAAAGATATTGTTTTATTCAATAGTTTATAATTTGGTTATTTATTATAAATTTATTCATTTTAAACAATTTTAATCAAAAAATGATTTGTTATTCATTGAGCACACTTATTTAGTAGGTACCTAGTTTTAATTTATTTGAAAGTCTGCAAATAGTTTTGTGTATAGACTACAGGTAATTAAATATAAAAATGAATTGTTAGATTTATTTGAATAAACTTTAAATTACATAAAAAAAAATTTTTTTTATTTATCATACTAATTAGTTATTATATTTGTATTTAAATAAATTTGGTATTATGTAAAATAATATTTTTATCATAAATATATTTATATTTTTATAAATAATTATTATTATATAGTTTATTAAGTCTAAGTTTACTAGTTTAATTTAAGTTAAAAAGGTAGGTATTATTATCATTTATTTATAAACGCCTAACAGATAATATTTTAAATAGCACAATACAATCTCGATTGTACAGTGCTATTAAAAATAATTAATCTAACCATTAGAATTGTATAATGTATCTAGACATAGGTATTATTTAATATATAAATAGAATGAAGTACGAAAATATTTATAAAATATGTAAAACCAATAAAACTAAAATATAAAAGATACGCGAACTATGTTGGGAAATTAAAATTTAAAGTAATATTAGTAAGGCAAAGAATACAGAATTTACCGAATACTTTTGTTATATTAGCTTAATAAATTAGCTTAAGTTTGTATAAAAAAAAAAAAATGTTTTTTTCTACGTCTATTGGTCATCGTTTAAGACTTTTCCCTAAGTATACTCGTAAAGTTAAATGTTTACCTAATATAGAAGCTAGGTTTGGTTCAGATCCTATGTTCACTTGGACGGCTTGGTCAACCATCTTTATTTTTTTTGGCTGCTCAGTCAATGGAGGTGTGAGGCTTCTAAATGTTATCCTGTGGATGCTGGCTTGATTTTCGGTGGACGGTGACGGCAACGGGACGTGGTACGACGGTATCCGGAAATACCACTTGAACGCCATTACCTTGTTCCATTTGATCCGACGTTCCATAGATCGGTATTGGGCCGCTCTGCTGTACAGCACGTGGTCGACGTAGCAACACCCGTACAAAAAGTGTTCGGTGGTCATCCACGTTCTCCAAAACTGCACGTCCTTGTTGAAAAAGCACCGTTTGATCACGTTGATGAATATTTTGAATTCTCTGCACGTTTCTGCGTCGGACAGCTGCGCCGTGTCGACGGTCGCGCGGAACGTGATCATCAGGCAGGCCATCAGAGGGACAATGTTCATGCGGTTGTTGCTCATGCTGTAAGTCAACCACATCAGAAGCTCCTTGACGTCTGACGCGCCGCTCGTGGTCCAGGCTGTGTCCATGTTGTGCAGCAAATCGCCGTTCCGCAACCGCGCCACCAGCATGTCTACGATGCAGTTCGGTTCGTACAAGTACGCGTATTCGACCACGGTCCCCCGGATTTTATTCTTCAACATAACCACTTGGCTTTCCAGTGAAGTCGCGTTCGGCGACTGTGCGATAACACCGGTCGGCGCTGGCCGCGGTGGTCGTGTAGCCTGCGGCTGTACAGTCGACGGCACCCCGGGCCGCGAACTTCTGACCGTCATGCCTATGCCAAAGAACTCTCTGAGCTCCACGATGTCCGGCGGCAGAGGAAGTTCCACGTCGGCATGACTGACTAACCAAGGTTCCGCGTGTTCCAAAGGACGGCCTACATCGATTTCAATCATCAGTTCATCGTCATCGTCATCGTTTCCATGCTGGTCGGCGACGGGCGAACAGTCGGCTAAAACGTAGCCCGCGTCCTCGTCGTCAGAAGTAGTCAAATCAATGATGCCCGAGGTTGGAATCGTTTCGGGGCTCATCTCTGGTCCTGCTGCTGTAGAACAGGTCGGCTGTTGGTATTCGTCGTCTTCGTTTTCCGATATGATTATTACTTCACAGTCTTCTATCGTACAAAGCCTGTTCGGCTCCTGGTCGGGTGCTGTCGCGACAACAGTCCTTCGCCCTTTGTTTTTACCGATTTCGGTTTTTTTTCCCCATTTTTGTCGATGTTGTTTTGGCACAGGTCGACGGCATGCAGCACGAGACTTGGATGTTTGTATATTGTTTCTTGCCACCGCCCTAAGGTTAAATAAATCCCTCAACCTTTCGCGTAGTCTTCTACTTTTCCTTTTCAATTTGTTAAGATTTGTTTTCTTTATTTTTCTTCTCTCTTTGGACGACTGCTTTTTTATCGGCCCGTCGGATACAATCGCTGATGTCGATTCACCGTTTACACCGGTTGTCACAGAAGGCCCGTCGGCGTTGGAATGAGATGGCTGAATATCTCCTTCGACATTTTCAACTACTTCGAAGTTTAAATCGCTGACACAAGCAGTATTATTTTTATTCTCTCTATGAAAAAAAAATAATAAAATTAGTTCACAACTTGAGTTATCTGCACTTATTCCACTGATTACAACGGTAAACATACTTTTGTGTATCGTCCAAATTGGGTTCCATGTCTATTTTATTGTTCATTGTTAATTTCAACGACCACAGTACGCCTGAAAATATAATGATTGATTACACCATGCTACGTTATAACTACCTTTCTGTATGTCTAATAACTTATATACATAAAAAAAATACACAAGCATTTGTGAGGCGGAAAGGGAAAAGTGACATGTTCCAGCGAGAATAGCAGGAGAGGCTAAAACATCTATCCGGGTTGGAAACATTTTTATGAAAAAAAATTAAATTATCTGCTTAAGGGCACTTTATTTTAATTTTTGATTAAGTTTCATTCCTTTAGTATGGAAATTAAAAGTTGGCAACATTACAAAACTTAAAGAGTTTTTTTCTTAAAACAACCATTTTTTCCGAAAAAAAGTTTATATATATTTTGGCCAATTAACAAGATAGGAGAATGATTTTGGTCTCAACATTTTTAAAATTAGAATTAAAAACAACTATATAATAACTTAAAATTTGATTTTTGTGACAAGAGGTCCTTTTTCCCCAAATATTTGTTTTTCTCATGTTTATTTATAATTTTTAAGTACAAAATTAGAGCGTGTTATCTTTTATTTTAATAAAATCTATTGCGTAATAATTTTATTAATACGGTAAACATTTTAAAAACTCTATTGTATGTGTATGTATTTTCCACACAATTGTTTAACATAAAAAAAAATCAAAGAAAGGAGAGAGAACGTGACATTATATTATTCTCATCACTACTACCCGTCACCAGAAAAAAATATAAAATATAATTGGTTATCTACTCTAAACACAATTTTTCAAGGGCGATAACAAAGTGGTTAATATAATAATATAAACTAAACACAAATGACTTAATTTTTCCATAAATCTAACAATTAAAATTAAATTTATTTTTTATGATCTGTCATTCATAAATCATAGTTTTACCTTTGTCTAAAGCAATATAAAACATATTCGAATTATGTTATTTTGTTGGGAAATAAAGCAACTAATTTTTTTTAAATTTAGGTAAAAAAATAAAATAGTTTAAAAATAAATAAAAAGTACATACCACCTAAATATCAAATTTGATTAATAAGTTTTTGTAAAAACAGTGATCTATGTCATTTTTTGAAATCACGAATGTTGGTTTTAATAACCAAGTTTTGGATACCTACTATGAATATTATGCTACTATTATTATAGATATGCTTAATTATTAACTATGCGTTCATGTAATTTCCTTTTATGAAAAAACGCCCGTATTGAAGACCTATTAG